TTTTGTGGCTTCCAGCCAAACAATAGACAGGCATATAGGATGAGCATTTACATCAGGTAGATACACTCCTTAGAATGGCCAATCATGGGAGAACAGAAGGGCAGTATTTGCATAGGGAGATAGCTCAGGAGCTAGGAATGCATAGGAAAGAAAAAGACTCAAGGAAGAGTTAAGTACAGGGAGGAAGAAGAAAGAGTGCTGTTACATTGTGGGGAATTGCAATCACAGTCATGAAACAAAATATATATGAAGTACTGTATGGGAAAATAATTTGCTCTGTAAATTTTCACCTAAATCACAGTAAAAAATTTAAAAAATAACTAAAGATTATCTCAAGATAAAAATTCCAGGTCTTATCCAGCCTCAGTGCCTCTAGGAATTCTGGACATCTTTGAGATTTTGCAATTTTGTTTCTCATTTTCCTCCTCTCTCTCTCTCTCTCTTTTTTTTTTTTTTTTAACAGGATCTGATTCTGGAATGACCTAGAAATCCCACTCTTGGGTATATACCCAAATGTCTTAGGAGTTGAAGTGTGAACAGACATAAGTATACCACTGTTCATTGCAGCACTACTGACAATAGCCAAAACGTGGAAATAACCTAAATGTCCATCAACAGACAATAAGCAAAATATGGCACATACATACAATGGAATACTACTAAGCCAGAAAGAGAAATAAAATACTGATACATTATAAAACATGGATGAATCTTGAAGACATTATGTTGAATGAAATATTTCAATCACAAAAGGACAAACATTGTAGTTCTCATTCTAGTAAAATTACAAGGAGAGTCAAATATACAGCAACCAAGGTTTATTTTTGGTTATTGAAAGTGGAAGGGAGAGATAAGGGGAACTACTCTCTGGGAAGCAGTGAGTTTTTGCTTATGAGAAATTCAGCATTAATTAAAGGTAATCTTTGTAAAACTGATTAATGTAGTTGAATTGCCAAATATTTATTGTGTCATATGTGTATATATATATATATATATATTTACAAAAAAATGAGGGATTGGTCAACAGTTGGGGTTGCGTTTGTACTACCAAACACATCATAGGACTTGTCTTTTGATTTGGAGCTTTATGCCACATTTTGAGGGACACCTGGATATTAATAGTAATGTAATTTTTTCATGTACTTTTTTTCTACCTCCTAGTTTGTTGTGTGGGAGCTCTGGTAGCATAGTGGCTAAGACACTTGCCTGCTAACCAGA